CACATCTGGGACCACTCATCACAGCAACAAGCTCTGGTGGAAATTGCCAGGCCAGCTGCGCCAACTTTGGCCCTATGACCACAACCTAGGAGAAAGTCAGGACCACCTCCTCATTGCAAGTATCCACTTTTCCTAGTGGGTTTTATTGCGCAAAGGAACGATTACTAAGATTTTGAACTACGGTCTACGCTCCCGAACATAATGCATATGCATTCTATTAGAGTTTTTCAAAGAAAACAAAATTGACGACTTGAATAGAATGCATGTGTTGTATTCAAGTGCTCGGGCTGTTCGAATAGAACAGCATACGCGTTGTATTCGAATATGCATTGTATCCGTTTACAACGCATATGCGTTATGTTCGGGGAAGAGGGTAGGTAGCCGAGCAGAGCTGGCAGGACCCGATTGGGAGGGTAGCAGAGGTATATGGACTGGGTGCTGTTACATACCATCTCCCTCCTCTCCCAGGGTTCTGCATGGTGCGCAGGGTGCCGAGCCCCTGAGGGAGATGGCTGGGTGGAGGTGGAAGCCACAAGCTCGATCAGCGCACTTTACACGGTCATATTTTTTGTCTTTCATGCGTGTGGAGAGTAGTGGAACGAGGCCCATTGTGTAAAAGTTTTCGAGAAAATAGATGAAGACGAGCCTTTTGCGGTGTTTTGCCCATAATGTGACCACTAAAAGTGTGTAATTTGATGTAAATGGAGACTCAAAGGCATTGGGTGAAAACACATAAAGATCTGGAACGTAACAGAGGGTGCCCCCATGTGAAGATCTGGAAAGTAACGGAGGATGCCCCTATGCGCCCCCGTTCCCCCAAAAAAGAAAAGAAAAAAGAAAAAAGAAAAAGAAGAAAAAAAAAAGTTTTAAAAACAGAGCATCCCCAAATTAGAGACTCTCTCCCGCGTGACTTCAGAATGATTCGAAAAAGGGAAAAAAAAAAGAAGAATGGGGCTGGTTTGGTGACTGCTGTGCCAGATGAGAGAGATTTTCCTTTCTTTTCCTCTTTTTAAAAAAAAAACAGCGACGGCCACCTCATGAAGCAGGCCGGAGACCTAACGTCCCCTGAATCGGGAACCTGTACCATTATATTTCTGGCCTTGGGCACTGGGCCCTAATAAAAAGACGACAATCTTTTGAGGGAAAAAAAAAAGAGATGTCATCATCGCACTGACTGGCCCTAGGTAATTCACAATTAGAATATGTTACTCATCTGCTCTCCAGCAGAGATCGAACCGAGCTCTGTATTTCAACAGGTAAGGGGTGTACGAACTGAGGTACGCCCACCCGTTCGCCACTTTGTTTCCAACTGAGAAAACAACGTTCGACTTACGCGTGTCAAACCACCGGTACCTTTCCCATATGTCGGCCGCGGGCATTACGCGCCGGCCCGAAAATCAAGACTGGCCGCTGATTCGATTTAACGGTGTCCGCCCTTCCGTTTCAGGCCAGCGCGCTACCCGGCGCGCCTTGAAAAACTAGTATAGGATTTGAAATTTTGAACACACGGGTCTGTTTATTCATAGTTCCTATGTGTGGACCATTCAGCCACGAGGCAGGACCATCTGATTCTGTCAGGATTTGAACACATAGTCCGTTTATTATTTTTTTTCTTTTTCTTTTTTTTTCTTTTTTTTTATACAAAAAACAACCCGAACAAATGCTAGGGGTGCTGATAAAAGAAGACACCACTAGCACTGTTGGCGAGGCTCCATCTATTGGTGGGGAGCAACACCTGCTGGAAAGCGGGTCCAGCATCCCTGAACATTTGTAAACATTTATTTGAACGTATATGTATTTGTTAGTACATATGCAGAGTCAGACTTAATACTTTTTTTTTCAGTGGCTGCGGACCTATCTGTTATCTACCTGGGGCTCAATGTGCCCCATGGAGCTGCCAGTAAAACCCGACCCGTCTAAGAGCCCTCTTTATATCTGGTCCCAGCCCTGTTCAGCAGCCCCCCTGTTCAGTGACGCCCTGTCCAGCCCTGGGTTCCCTTTTAGCCCTGAACCCTCATTAACTGCTCATTACACCCTTATGTGGCCTTGCGAGCACGAACATCTACCCTGGGTGGAGCGAGTTACAGAGCAATGCCGAGCCGCGCAGCTGATTCTTTAGGGAGAGAGTATGGCCGGGCAGCTACCAAACCGAGAGTGTGCTCATCTACAGGGCGGATTAGACCATTCTAAGATGCTGGGTGCAATGCTGCAGACTATATGGGGAGGGATTGAGACTAGACTCACACTAGGTCCTCAAAATCGCAAAAATCGCAAAAAATAAATCAACGGCCAGATTGATTCCTCCTTTTACAAGGACTCCATCTGGCCGCTGATTTTGCGATTTTGGAATTTTGAGGGCCTAGTATGAGTATGCCCTCACTCACATGTGCGGACCATTCAGCCACAAGGCAGGTACTGGCCAGGTAATGTTAGCAAAACCTTCGACAGAGGTTTTGCTAACAACAAAGGAAAAAGAAAAAACTTCAAAAAAGAAAGTTTTAAGTTTAAACCACCAGTCCTTCCGAAAGACGCGTCCATAAACGTGCCACACCGCGCTGGGCCGGGCGGGTCTGGCGGCTCCGGTCCACAAATTCATTCAAGTGGAAACGTCGCGGCTCTATTTTTTTGCCGCGGCCCGATGTATGGGCCAAGTACTGCTGGTTAAGAAAAAACCAAAAAATTTCAAAAACAAAAAGAAAACAGAAATTCACTCACCTTTCCAAGATGACATATCTGTCGCGCAATAGCCCGGACAACAAACTGTCACAATCACTTTCTGCCCCTCCGGTCGTGACGCTAGTTCCTTCGCCAATATTCGCGTATACGCTAATTCCACGATCCTTCATCATCCGCACGATCACAACAACGTGTTAATACTTTGCCTTCCCTTAATTCTTGTTTTGAAAATTGTGATCTTCAGTTCACAAGAGAGAATCTGTCCTACAAGCCCCGACTACTGGATGTGATGTGAGCAACCTCCAGGAGAGGGAGACTCCCTTCCGGACAGCTCCAGTCTATGGACAGCTCCAATCTATTTACATCTCTCTCTCTCTCTCTCTGCACATACATATATATATATTGTCACATCACTACAAACTAAAAGCGCGCACTTTGCGGAACAAAGAATAAAAGCAAAAAACGGGCACAGTGATAACATGCAAAAATAAAAAGAAAAAGAAAAAGAAAAAGAAAAAACAAGGGCAGATTGAAACCATTAAATTTCTCATTCTTCTTTGAACTCCACCTCC